AAACAAAATTGTCTACATGGGAAAATTGACCAGAATAACTAATGCGGAATAAACTATTCCAGAATAGTGTTTCGTGTCGACAGTAGACACTCTCTTTTAAAATAAAAGAATCTTTATTTGGGAATAACGAGTGCACTTTCAAAGTAGAGTAATTATTTTGGAATATAATCACATTTGTTCCAGAACAGAATATCCACACAAGGAGCTATTCCAGAATAACCATTACAGAATAGGTTATTCCAGAATAGCTATTCTAATCACTTTCCCCATGTAGCCAAGCCCTAAATCAGCCCTGTTGTGATTCCATTGACTATGGTAAAGCAGGTACAGCTCTACATTAGGCCTAATTTGGCCGGACATGTCTTCCTGTGGGTCACAAGTGGAAAAAGTAAATGAGATATGGGAGATGACAGGAGCTTGAATATTTTAGGGGATGTGGATATGTTCCTGTGACATGGTGGACTAGGCCTTGAGCCCCCCCTGCTGGAGGCCTTGTGGCCCTGCCACACCCCGCCCCAGAAAAGGGCATTAGAGAGGTCCTCCAAGCTACCCAGAGCGGCTGTATGGGAAGCAGCCAATCAGGGCCCAGCAAGTTAGTATAAGAAGAGCTGCAGGATCATAGTGAGATCAGTTCCTTGCTAGAGCTGGAGGAGAGTGGATAGTGCTCTGGGCTGGCTGCTGGGATTCTACCAGTACAAGGCCCTGAGGTAAGGGTGAAGAATGTGCTGGAACCATGGGGAAGTGGCCCAGGGAATCGTAGCAGCAACATAATGTATTTAAAGGGATGTGGTGGATGACTGCTATCTATAGGGTCCCTAGGATGGGATCTGAAGTAGAGCATGAGCCCAGGTCCCTCCTCCCCACCAGCCACTGGGAAAGTGGCCTGCATTTTGTACCCCAGAAGGGGAGCTGAACTTCTTTAGAGGCCTAGCTGAAGAGCTGGGGCCAGAAAGGCCCAGAGATGTGAAATATTCAGGGAGGGAGCCCTGGGGGTCGTGGCCCTACATCAGGCAGGGCTAATTTGAGGGAAACCAGAAGGGGCTGAGAGACAGTTTGGACCTGGGTACTGTGATAGGCCATGCTGAACTGATTGAAGAGTGAGCCCCAGGATAGGGCTGCAGATCGAAAGACTTTACAGAGGGTGCTGAAATACGCCCCCTGTTGGATTTATACCCCAGGAGGGGTTTGCTTTGCTTTATGACACAGACAGACTGTATGTGACTTGGCCGGAGGGCTGAGTCACTAAAGACCCATCACAAACTGAGAGAGAGAGAGCAGGCACAAGCACTGAGACAGGGGACGCTCGCAAGAGGTGAGTGCACCCCATTACAGTTCCATTTAGCTCTGCTGCACTTTGTTAAATTACCTGCATACAGTGATGCTAGAACTAGGGCCACTGGGGGTGCAGTAGCATCCCCTGGCTTGAAGTGGTTTCCATCATATACCGTTTAGTTTTGTTCAATGGCTTTCAGTACCCCACTATAAAAATTGTTCCAATGCCACTGCCTGCAGGGCCGCCGAGTGTGGTTTCGGGCCCCGGTGAAAAAAATTTTTCGGGCCCCCAAGCAAGGGCAGTGCAGCTAAACAGGTCCAACGACAGGGGAGGCGAAGCCAGGGAAGCCGGGCCCCCTTCCGGACCGCCGGGCCCTGATAATTTGTACCGGCTTCTCCCCCTCCCCCCCTCGTCGGCCCTGCCTGCCTGCGTATGAATGAACATTCTGATCTTGGAGTGAAAAGAAGGAATTGGAAGATTATTTTTTTCCATAAAGAACAGAAAGAAAATTTCTGAGTCTGCTGTGGATGAGCTGGTGCGGGAGCTTTCTGATATTTTACTCTGAAATACTGGTGCTGTCTTTTGAAATCTTTCGGGAAAACAGGGCTGGCTGCTAGGGAGGGTTAATATAGGGCATTAGATTGCTCTCTTTAGATGCACTGATATATGAAGTGATTGTGTATGGGAGTGGGCTTTTGTTTGCTTGTTTGTTTTTTTTATTTATTTTGGTGTGGGGGAAGTGAAGGAGAGTGTAAAAACGGCAGGTCCCAAATGTTTAGTCTAATTATGATGCTGTTGTTCTGTACCATCTTAAGCCTTGTTTACTTTTTACCTGATGTTTTGGATTCTTGCTATAACTGTCACTGACTATGAAACAATAAAATGTACTTTAAAGGGAAGGTACTAATCACTTCACTTTACATAAGAGAAAATGGTACAGGTACTGAAAAAGTTAAAGGAAATTAAACTGGAAAGAAAGCAGAAGGAGGAGATACTTTGAGAGGCTAGCCAAAACTGCTCAGTAATGTGGACTTTTGCTTTTCTATATACTCTGTGCTCTGCCCCCAGGAGCACTGACACTACAGAGTATTAAATATTTAGAATAACAAAATATGGTGAATGGGGTTACATTGTGCACTATTGCTTCTATGGTATTTGACACTGACTTATGGTTTAATTCTTAATTTTGCTCATAGTTAAGACTATGGCCACAGACTTGGAGTTGAGTGACATGGAATGAGACCTATTTATTTATAAGGGCCCAGTCCAATCACCATTGACATTGATGGGAGTCTTTCCATTGATTTGAATCAAACCCATAAGATGCACCATGTATTCGCAGCACTATAAACTTTTACCAGTTTAAATTTAAAATGACATGGTTATCCATGCAAGGGACCAGAGAGCATATTGCAATTGTCTCTGAACAAGACCAGACATTCCTGATTCTGATACTCATTTCCTCTATGGCCTTATGTGAATTGCACACATCTTATGATTTGGTTTTCTGATATGAAAAATAGGGGTAATAATCCTCACATTTTTAGCAGAGTTGTTATGAGGATTAATTATTTTTTTAACTCTCTTTATTATTGATACATTGTTATAGACTCATAGACTTTAAGGTCAGAAGGGACCAATATGGTCATCTAGTCTGACCTCCCGCATGATGCAGGCCACAAAAGCTGACCCCCCCCACTTTCCCTTAACTCTGCTGTTGAAGTCTCCAGATCGTGATCTAAAGAACTTTGTAAGGCATATTATAGTTAATATATAACTATTAGGGCAAGGGAGGACATAAACTATGTAAGAAAATGTACTTTGCTTTGGGTACGTCTATACTTACTTCCTTGTCCGGATGTAAGCGATCGATCTTCTGGGATCGATTTATCGTGTCTTGTCTAGACGCGATAAATCGATCCCGGAAGTGCTTGCCATCGACGCCGGTACTCCAGCTCAGCGAGAGGAGTACGCGGCATCGACGGGGGAGCCTGCCTGCAGCATCTGGACCCGCGCTAAGTTCGGACTAAGGTACTTCAAATTCAGCTACATTATTAACGTAGCTGAATTCGATTACCTTAGTCCGAAGTGGGGGGTTAGTGTGGACCAGGCCTTCAAATCACTACTTGAAAATTTAGAGAGACAAGGTGGATGAAGTAATATCTTTTATTGGACCAACTTCTGGTGGTGAGAGAGACAAGCTTTCGAGCTACACAGAGCTCTTCTTCACATCTGGGAAAGGTATTCAGGACAGATCTACACTTAAAACGCTGCAGCTGCACTGCTGTAGTGCTCAGTGAAGACCCTACTATGCAGAGCTTCTCCGGTCGGCATAGTTAATCCACCTCCACGAGAGGTATACTTGCTCAGGGTGTGGATTTTTCACACTCCTGAGCAATGTAGTTATGCTGATGTACATTGATAGTGTAGGCATAAGTAGTTGGCACATATCCTAATGGACCCTTCAAGGTAAAGTGGCCCATTAACAGCCCTGTAGTCATAGGACAAAAATTTGTCTCTTTTCACATTAACTTCTGTAAATTATGCTCTCATGAATATGAAAACCAATTTCCTCCTAAATAAGAGTGAGTGAAATATGAAAGTCTGAACAGAATCCTTAAAAATATAAACCATATTACATGCAACATGTGCCATGAAAACTATGTATCTATGTAGATTATTCATTATTAATAAAATTCATATACATAGTTCTATAATTTACTTGCGCTTTACAAACATATTCTTTACCCATAGATGTTACAGTCTTAGAGATATAAAAGTATTCTTGGTTTCTCAGAATATAAACAAATTAATATATGGTAACAAACTATTTATTAGAGATGTTCCTTTGTTTAGAGCTTATGTTCAACACAACTAAAAAAACGACTGTATTTTTTGCTAGCAGGTACAGAGCCTGTGGTCTCTTTAGAAACTGTTTCTACCTCTTGTTTAAAATTATCCATCTTATGTTCTATCCCCCAATGTATTCCTTTTAAAGAGGCTTTGACAAGGTCTGACAAATTCTTTTATAGCTAGAGTTCCCCTGTCCATTAATCAATTTTAAGTACACTATACAATGGGTTAAAATCAGAGATGCAGAAAAGCATCAATATTTATCCAAGGCAGTTGAAGTTTCCTCACCTGACTCATGCCTTCCCAAGAAATGAGGTGCTAAGTCATCTTCTCCAAGGGAAGGCATTGTTTTTTGACACTGTTTCTTTGCGCCATCCCATAGTCATATCCTTCTGGCTTAGTGACAGTGTTAGTGGGTGGGAGTGGACCTGCAAAGTCTTATGCCTCGTGCATTTTAGGATGAGACTCCAGGCAGGAGCTCCATGAGTGCCATTTCACCAAGTGTCCCATCTATATTTCATACCACAACTTGAAATTAAAATACCTTGAACTAACTAAGAAGTCACAGATTCATTTTCTACCCAGTTCCGCTCACGGTCCTCCCTGCAAATAGGCAGTTAATACTGTGCTCACAGCAAGAGAATGAGGTGTATGAATTTACCCATCCTTACTCCATATAAGCAGATTGTTGTTTTCTCATCCTAAAATTTGGGCTACCAGAAAGCCTTCTGCCCATGCCATCTGCCCTTGAATTATGGATCTCTGTATCTTACCAGTGCAGAGGGGAAGAAAGGCAGCAGAGAACACAGATATACAAGTTTTAGAAACACTGCCATAGGGTCTCACATTAAATATGTCCCTCTTTTTCTTTCAGAGGTGTGGAGAAATCTCATTTGATAGTCCTGATCAGAATGCCAAATGTGTTTGCATGCTAGGTAAGAGTCCTTCCTCTTTTGATATGAGCTCTGGTGTATGGCAGTATATGCTGTTTCATTTGGTGCGTCTTTTCTAAATTAGGCTGAACTCAGCCTATAAAGTATAATTAGCTGGGGCGAAACTGGTATGAATTACAATGGGATGCTCTTATCTACCAAATTCATTATAATCAGCTGGTTTACACATGTTTCTTCTGTTTCATTTGTATTGTATTGTTGACTAAGTGATTTCTGACAACTGGTTATGAAAATTATTTGCAGATCCTTTCAAATTCCTGTTTTACTGGAGGGACATTTTTGACTGGTTTGTAACTAAGCAGGCTAGAGTACTTCTGTGAAAAATGTTAACACACTTTGGGCTAAACTGTGCTTTGTTATACTGCCATAAATCCAGAGTAACTCCTTTGAAGTCAATGGAATTATTCTGGATTTATATTGGTTTAACTGAGAGCAGAAGCTGGATCTTCAATTTAATAAACCACATATCAGAGGAGAGATAATTAAGCTCATTGTAATATTGATTGAAAAGCCCTTGCTTATCAAAGCATCCTCAGGATTTCCAAATCTGCCAGAAGTGTATAGAATACACAGTTCATGTTATAATTTTGATGCATGGCATTGACATTCAAATGCTAATATTATAGGGTCAGATTCCGATACCCTTATGATGGGTAGAAAACCTTTCTCCTGTAGTAGTACCATTGACTTACTCATCATAAGAGTACTAACATCTGACCCATAATTATGTGTTCATATTTCAAGAAAACTTGAAGAGTTTGTTGGAGGGGAGGAAAATGTTATTTCAAGAGTTTCCCTTAATTTTTCCTTTTAAAAAAATCTAAAATAGGTGGGAGTTGATTTTAAACCTCCTGAGAACTGTCACTACTATAGCAACCATTCCAGTATGGCAGCAAATGTTCCACAATATAGACAGGAGGAAATAATTTATTCTCAATTGTGAACTTTTTACTTACTAAAAAAGAGTATAATTCTAGTGGTGCCCATCAAGACAACTGAAATTATGGCTGTGTAGATTCATGAATTTTAAGGCCAGAAGGGACCACTGTGATCATCTATCTGCTCTCCTGCATAACAGAGCATAGAACTTTCCCAAAATAATGCCTGTTTGACTAGAACATAACTGCATTTCAGTTATGAACTATGATATACACAAGTTCAGAATTCTTCCTGAATAAATGAAACCTGTTGTACAAGGTCTGAACCTATAATCAAATTTGCTTTTTAACAGCATTGATTGAAAATGTGTAGTATAAAGTGGCACTTCTATATGTTTAGAATTTTTTTATAAAATGCATTCATACATTTAAAAATTATACAGTGCATACACAAGTACCTAAATATGGGACCAGATGTTTAGCTGAAATTATGTTGATTTACTGAGGATCTTGCCCATTATTTGTAAAATGCTGAAATTGCAAAACTATATTCTCTGGAAACAAAACAGGAATATACTGCTATGTGTCAATGTGTTCTGTAGTTGTTTGTTATATTAGCTTTTTTGATTTGCAATGCTATATCTGAAAAATAAATAGCATTATTACTACAAAGAAAAATCATACAATAATATTTACATAAGGGGAAAAATACCTAAAAACAGTCTTTGCTCAGAGAAAATATGAAATAAATGGGTCATTTCCTTGAGTAAGGGCTGCAGGATTGAGCCCTAAATTCTTATGACTATCCTGCCAGGGCTGAAATAAAGTGAGCCTTACCCTCCTATTCCTTTAACACGATGGGGAACAAATGAAGAGCATGCACACAAAGCAGTTTTTAAAGGAAAATTGCAATACAGCATGAAAGCTATTCTAATTGTTACATCTAGTTACAAATATGGAAGCATAAATCATGATCGGGGATTTTTTAAAGGCCCTTAAATTTTATAAAAAGAAGAATGAATAATACACTTCCATTTTTGGTAGTAGGATAATATAGGTTAGTTCACAGGGAATGCAGCTACGGTTTGAAAGCATTTAGGAGAAGGAGACTGGAAGAGTTTGGAGTTAAGTCTATTTGCTACACAAGTGTTTTCACTAACATACTTGTGATATCTTTTTAGAAATATTTTGGAAGTCTCCTGCTTTCCCATACAACTGAAGGGCAGCTACCTTCCCTGTGACCTAATTGACACCATCAGACTGTGTCTACTGGTATAAAGTACAGTATCAGTAAAAATGCCATCTCTATTCAGTTATTGTATAAAAATGGGAAGTGTGGGATATATTTTTTTAAATTAGTTCTGAACATACTGCTAAGACCTGGATAAAGAGAAAGTATGTGTGCGCATATGCACGAGAGAGAAAGAAAGAGCAAGTTCATACTAGTGCTGTCTGGTAGATGCAATCAAAACTGTGCTTTTGGAGTAGATGGATACAGGTCCTAACTGATTATCTAACTCTGTGAAGTCCTGAGTAATCATAGTGTGCAGTACTGTGGCAACCATGAAGTCCTAGGTAGCCATGGAGGGTTTTGTTTGTGTTTTTTTTTTTTTTTAAAACACAGTAAGGCCAAATCTTGCAAAGACTTATGCACACTGTGTATAGTTGGACTGCTCATGGGGCATAAAGTTAAGCTCATGTGTAAGCCTTTGCAAGATCAGAGTCTAAATGGACTATATGGTTAGCTATTCAAGGCCTTATCCCACATTCCTTATGCACTCCCATTGACTTCAGTGGGAATTTTGGGTACACAAGGAATACAGGATCAGGCCCCTAAGGCTTTAAAGAAAAATACCAATAAGGCCTGTAGGATGCTCTGCAACTCTTGACCAGTGTAGAAGTATTTGATTAGCTGCGTGTTTCTACTTTCCACCCCACTTCAAAGCAAAGTGGACATATTTGCTTAACTATTTTTAATGTTTGTTTTTCCTTTAAGGATGGAAAAATTATTTACATGGACCCAAAGGAATCAAACATCTCAATAATTCATAAATTTTAAAGGGGGGAAAATCCGTGTGTGTGTTGCTTATGTAAGTAAAAGCCTATCATATGCAGCTCTGCCAATACCCCAGTCTTAGCTTGTGAAACACTTTCTATTTCAATAATGGGCTGAAACTGCCAACTGTGTTCAAACGTGTGGTGGCTTTTCTGCTGTGGGCAAAGAGCCACTGAGGACATAGCTGAATCCATGAAATTCATTTCATATAGGGCCAAATACTGATTTTTTGAACATGGGTATCCACAGGTAATAAATAGGAGAAGCATGCCACTGAAACAACACCCTTCCTTTGAGGAGCCAGGCACCCCTCTGTGGTGGAATGAAGGGAGGGAGTGTGTGGCCCTAAAGCAACAATTTTATGTTTAGTAGTTTGCTAGGGAAAGTTTTCTTCCTTTTGGGGCTGCTCTTTTCTTGGATGAATTCTAAGTGGCTATTTGTGAGGAAACTGCTGTTATTACAAGTACATATTCCTCAGACTATGTCTGCAAGGACCAAGTCTACAGAAAATGAGGAAAAACTCATTATTCCAGCTTGGGCTGAATTTATAACACTGGGGGGGAAAAGCACATAAGCACTTTTCGTGGGCTAGCCATTAGGCTTGTGTTTGACTCTAACTTTAACTCCAGCACCAGACTGTTTTAGCAAGAGGAATTCACCTCTTCTGGAAAAATCTCTAGCTGACCTTCCCCAGCCTGTAAGTGACAGACAGTTAACACGCAGAAGGCAGAATCTCCTAATAAAGTCTGCCCAGTGCTTCAGTAATAGGACACAGCTCCTGGCAGCAGCAACTGTCAACACTAGCAACTTACATTAGAAAAATCTGCCCTCAGTTATGCCCCTGTTAACCGACTAATATCAACAGGGTTACATAGATATAATGGATGGAATAATTTAGCCCTGAGTACATTATGGTGGAAGTTCCTGGAGAACAGGAACAGGGGCAAATTGCTCCCTCCTACTAAAGCTGAAGAAATATTTCAGTGTGAAACAAGCAGGTTAAAATGTATTTGTACACTGAGGATTCACTTAAAAAAAAATGCAAAACACATCAATAAACAAACCATATCTTGCTGGTATATTATCACCTTTTAGCAAAAATGTCAGTGTCGGCATTTGAAAAATAGATAATAGACTAGAGTAGAACTCCCATACACCTGCAGACACACTGTGTCCCAGCAACCTCTCAGAGTTACAGATCTGCATACGCAACACAACCCAGCAGGCCCAAGAGTATTTCTTTTTGAACAGGTGTATTAAAATAAAATTCAATTGAATTAAAGTGGAAAAATAGATATTGTTCTTGAAAATGTCATGTCTACCTGTCTTTGGTATTTATATTACCCTTATTACCATAGTATCTAGTGATTCACAAACTTTATTGATGCCCTTTCCAGGACATACGCTCCTTGTCCCAATCCTCCTTACCACAATAAGAAGGTTAAAGCCATTTCATAGCAAAGGCCCAACTAAAGACAAAATACAAAAAAGATCTTCAAAAGGCAAGTTTTTCTGTTTTTTAAAAAGTACAGATTTCTGCATATTCCTTTCCTTTCTGACCTTTTCCATAGCCTGCTTAGGTATTTCAGTCCTTTTAGTGTCAGACATGTGCAAAAGGAATTAGCCACTGATACCATAATTGAAAATAGCAGCAGACTCTCTATAGTGAGGGTTAAATTTCCTCCATCAGTATTCATATTTGAACTAAAAGCCATAAATCTGTATGTGCAATTCCCGTTGATGGCAGTCGCTGGTGCGAATGGAGAGCAGTATCTTCGTATCTGTGTAAAGGGTATGAGAGGCCAATAGTCCTAATTCCTGTACATAATATACAGTCTAGCAGTATATTGACACTTAAGTCTGCATGGCTCTCCAAATCACCATATACCACATTTTTCATGGTGGAGCTCCCTGTTCACTTGATAACAGTTCCAATTTAGCTAGAACCGTACAGATTTTCCACATTGTGTCATAAATCCTGTTTAGTTGCCTGTAGGCTCTGAGGTCTCTTGCCTATCTAAGGTACTTATATGGCCCCCATTACTGTA